GGGTATATATCGAAAAGAAAATTGTGGGGAAAAAACAGAATCATTATCATTAACATCATCATCATCGCTAATACCGTCATTAGTATTATACACAAACGGAGTAGATTCCTTTATGCAAAAACAAACACTACCTATTATAGAAATATAAAAATAATATTTATAACAATAATAATAAAAATAATATTATAAAACTCTTCTTTATTAATAGAGAAAAAAATCGTTACTATAAATATATTACCTTAATATAAATTAGTGTAGATATAAAATTGATTTTTTTTTATAATTATACCTGCAATACAAACACACAAAAAAATAAAAACAATAAAAAAAATTCATTTACCACACAAATATTCATATTCAACACACCCACACTTAACCTTAAACTCACCAATAAAAAACCCCACACATAAATATATACCCCCACTAAATGTATTAATAATATCTATTGTTATTTAGTATTCAAAAAAAATAAAAAATTTGATTGTGTGCTACATACTATATATCTATTTAAAGTGTTTTTAAATGATAAACTATTGTACTAACATTTTTATTTTATTTATTTAATAAAATTAAAATTAAAATTAAAATTTAAAAAAAAAATTTTTATAAAAAATTTAATAAAAAAAAAAAAAATTTAATCTGCTTGTGCTTTGAAATTTAATTTATATATATTTAAAATTTTATATAAAAAACTTTAAATTTGTATACTAGTCACCCAATGTTAGTATTATATTTTTTATAATAATCTTTATAATAAAAATAATAATAATAGTAATAGTAATATTTATTATTAAAAAATAGAAATGGATTATAAATATAAATAATAATCATCATACGAAATTACTTTGAAATAAATATGTTTTTAAATACAATTTATTTTTTATATTAAATAAAAATATTTTTTATGATTTATATCTCTTATTAAAAATATTTTTATATATTGTCAACATTGTTTTATTATCTGTTTGGTTAAAAAAAAATAATTAAAAAAAATATAAAAAAAAAAAACCTATTTGTTTTTATAAAACACATGTTAATCATTTCATTTTCTATATAAATAAAAAAATATTAATACCTTTCTAATCACTAACCTTTTTAAAAATTATAGAAGCCCAGATCAATTAAAAAAAAAATAAAAAAATTAATGATATAAAATTTAACCAATCATAGTGTAATAAATTAAACTAGATAAGAGGTAAGATTTAAAGTTATTTTGTGGTTATTTGTATTTTTTAAATGTGTTTGTGTATTGATCAAATTTTTAATAATTTTTACTCTGGTTCTATTGGCCAAATTTTCCCCAAAAAGTTGATTTTTTTTTAAAAAAAAAAAAAAAAACTAAAAACAATATTAACTTCACCACATAGTTTTTTCACACTTTTTTTCACACTTTTTTTAATGTAAAATTCACACCGATAAATAATATATTATTATGGCATTTAAAGATATTAATTCTTAAATAACCAAAAAAAATACATAAAAAATATAATTTTTTTTTTTTTAATTTAATTTAATATTTTTTTTAAATATCATAGTTTTTGTAAAAACTAAATTAAAAAAAATATTTTAAAATATTCAACACAATTTCTTTTTTTTTTTTTTAAATAGTGAATATTGTTTTTTTACACACATATATTCACACACATTCACTTTTCTTTAACCATCAAAAATAAAAAAGACAAATTTACAAACCATTTGTTAATAGATTAATATAAACACCAATCATATAATAATAATAAATAATAAAAAAAAATCCAAGTTGAAAAAATTAATCAATCTTCTATCTATTATAATTAATTAATTAAAATAATAACAATAATCACATCAGTTAGAAAAAATATTTATAAACAATAATTTTAAAACACATAATGTGTGTTTATTTAAAATAATCATTACTATAATTTTGTAAAATACTTTTTTTGTTACATAAAAGAAAAAATTTTCAGAAAAAAAAAACAAAAAAAATTCACAAAAAAAATTCAAAAAAAATTAATCACCAATAAAACTTTCACAAAAATATTTATCGACGTAAAATTAATCAAATTTAGTAAATCATCACACATAGAAAAATAACAATTTAAATTACCTACATTGTTAACAATATTAATAAATTGTCGAAAAAAAATTTGGTAAACCATTATTGTTATAAATATAGTAATAGCCAAATAAATAAATCACATATACACAAATAAAATAAAATAAAATAAAATAAAATAAAATAGTAAAATAATAAAATAAAATAAAATAAAATAAAAAAGAATAGAATTTGTGAATTTTTTTAATCAAAAACAGAAATTAATAATAAAAATATCAAAATAATTAAACTAAAAAATGGCAACTACAAAACATACAGGTATAAAAATAGAAAAAACAAATGAAATTTAAATTAAACTATTTAATAATTATTGTGTTTTTAAATCATTTATCAATATTGTTATCACTTGTCACTTTAAATAATTGTGTTTTATTATTGTATTGATTTATTCGAGTTTTTATTTGAATTTCATCAAATTCAAATGTAGTTATAGGATAAAGAGGGAAAGTGCAGTTATTTTGTGGTCTATTTGTTATAATTACGTTTCAATATAATACATAACCATTTTTTTGCCCTTGATAATTAAAAAAAAATAATCACCCTCTTTACATTTTGATAATAATGATAATAAGCATAAGTCAAAAATCACTATTCTCAGCTTTCAACCTTTTAATAATCTCACCACCAGTTTAGAAAAAAAAAAAAAAAGTTTAATCAAACAAAACAGCGAAAATAAAAAAAACAACCCAACCCACACATATAAACATTAATTAATACACACCATTATTAAAATTATTTACAAAAAAAAAAAACCGGAGGGGGGCGATAAAAGTTATTTTTAGAAACACTTTTTTTTTTCAAAAATAAAGAAGGCCACATTATTTTGTTATTGTATTTCTTTTGTTAAATAATTTTATAAAAATTTATAAAATATTTGTGATTTTTCAAAAACGAGT